TGTTGCATTATTTTGTGCGTGTTTGAGACAGACCCAAGCTGTGTGAGTTCAAGGAGTTGGTAATTACACTGGTGAGCTGATAGGGTTCTTTTTCCCCTCAGGGCAAAGACCACACACACACACACACACACACACACACACACACACACACACTCTAAACCCAATGGCAAGTATAAGAACAAAATAGAGGGTAAGCTTTCTATTTAAATAAACATCGCAGTCAGAATGTTTATATTTTAAAACTAGAATACAAAATAATTTTGTTTTAAACAAATTTTAATCTACATTGTTTTTTTTTCCTCTCTTTTTTAACCTTGTAAAGTGGCCAATTTAGTTTCACAATATAAATCAAATGCATCTTTGAACATCTAAATTTACTTTAAACTGACACTGCAGAAAGGAGGCCTCCGCAACCCTTATGGCAGCAATATTCCCACCTCTTTTTTTTTATTATTATTCCTTAAAAGTGCTTATCAAGATGAATGAGAAGAGCAGTGTGTAATTTCAAAGATGAAATTGCTTTTCTCTCCAGATTTCCCATTGTGTTTTCAAGGTCACCATAACAAGCAGTCGGCATAGCCCAGCTTCTCGCGGCTGTGTCAGGGCCCACCACGCCTCATGGGGACGCAGGGTGGCTTTAGAGGTGTTCTGTTTTATTCTTCCTCTCAAAAGAGGGTGTGACATTCCTGCTCATTGACATGCGGTGGGGTGAAATTGAAGTGTTGAGGGGACCCCTGCCCTCTATCCCCAGCACAATCACCAAGGCCAAGGCCATTCAGTGCCCTGAGTCCCGGGAAGGCCCATCCTCTGTGTCAGCAAGGGAAACCCGGGACATGTCCCAGCGACCGGCTGTAGACAGCAGCGGGGCTGCAGAGATGGATAATTCTAGATGCGGCTCAGGGTCACACCCAAGCTGCTCATTCCTGTTTTAAAATATAACAAACCAGCAAAATGATAGGTTCTGCCTGCTTCCGTCCCACACCCACAACCACGACACTCCTTTAAAACTTCATCTGAGAGCTGCATTTACAATCCTTCGACTGCCCAAATATTCTCCAGCATGAAATATGGTTAATGAAACCAAGATATCACCAAGATACTCTGAGACTTCCTCCTTTATAGATAAAATAACACATGTCTTGATAATCACTTGTGTAGGACCAATCAGTAGGTTAATACACAATTTTCCTTAGGTTAAAGTAATTACCATATTCTCATAGGTAATCTGGTCTTATACATTTATAAAGCTATCTAGAAATATTTAAAAATGTATCTCTTAAATAATAATTTTCTTAAACTCAAGGGACTTATGGCTCAAAGTGACAATTTGTTTACTTACACAAAATTCCTCTTTCTGCACAATAGTAACAAAATGTATAAAAATTTAAGGGAAAATGATTGACAATGACTAGGTTGACATTAAAATCCTCAGGATTTTTATTCGAAGTCAAAACGTAAAGAGGTCATATAGCAAGACAATGAGAAGTGCTGCATTTCGAGGGAGCCCAGGTATCACCTGTAGAATGTACAAAATTTAGAATTAAATTCTCTAATTCTTGGTTCCTTGATATTTATTGAGATTCTAATATATATCGGTCTCACACGATTTTGTGAAGAGTGACATAAATAACGTGTGTTACTGTTTAGTAATGCTCAGTCAATGCTAACAGTTTTATTAGCATTATCCAAATGAAGTGATCAAAGCATTTGGGAAAACTATTTATAGAAGAAGCTTTTTAAAGACAAAGGAAAAGTCATGATTGACAGTCTGGTGATCTGCCTTTGGTCTTGCTTTGCATAAACTTTTTTTGCTGGTTGAACTGGTTTGATTGTTTAATTTCCATTCCTATCACCCAAGTTTTCAGTAAGTTTTGGGGCATCATGAGAGGGTGTAACTTCAACACGAAACAGTACTGGAAAACATTTTGAAACAAGACATAAAAATATAGCAAAGATCACTTTCTATCCATTTATAAGTAGGTTGCCGCTAATCTTCCCTTTACATTATGCCTACAAGTTAAACAAACTGCAACTAGGAAGATTGTGATCATTTGACTAGGACCTGGATTGTTTGAGAGGGTCAGTCTAAAAGTAAGGTTTTGCTAATTATTTTTGAACATTGTAATGGCATTTTAAGTAACAAAGTGCTTTCACCTACAATAATAGTTATTCATTTTACTTTTCCTGTGTAAGCCAGGCTCTCTCCCAAGGGTATTAAATGTGTTATCTACTCTACCCATTATACCACAGACTCATAATGTAGATTTTATCATGATTAAAATAGTCATACTATTAATAAAAATTAATATTACTTTTATTTGTATTATGGCTACTATTGTTCTATTGACAAAAAGAGAAGAGAGGTTAAGTAACGTGCATAGAGAGATAAGTACCAGGTCCCAAACAAACCTCAACCATGTGGTTAAAGCCTATTAATAGCCTGACCAGAAGCCCTCTGAGGTGGGAGCCTGGACACTTAGTATCTTATTAATCCTTACTGTGCTGTAGGCTGGAGCCCATGCGTCCCTTCAAGGAGCACAGGGGTGCTAACTGTGGGTCTGTAGCTTTGGGGAGCTGCCTTCCTTTTAGGAACACTCCTTGCTAGTTTTCAAATAGTTCTTTAGCACTGAAATTGGGACCCCGAGCCATTTTTTATGTTCTAAAGACCACTCTGTTAGTTAAGTAAATGTGACTACAACCTTGAACAAATTTATAATCTACTGCAATATTACAGTAAAAGGAATGCAAAGGTAAAGCAAAAATTCTAATTACTTCGAAGGTAATTGCAAACTATCTAGCTGCCCTGAGAGTCTCCCTAAAGCCGTGGCATTGTTTGGCACTGCCACACCCTGTTTTCTGGAGGATTTTTAGTTCAAACACGTATCTCAAATTGACCATATATCTAAATTACTTCCCATTCAGAGACACTTCATGGCATGTAGGATACTTTCATGCTGTTTCACTAAAAAAGGTTTTCGATTGCAAGTTGAATGCTGTGGACATTGAAGTCCCATGCGGCTGAGGTCCCACATCTCAGAGGCCTTTCCTCATGCTGTTTCCATGCGTGTTTTCAGTTCTTGGAATGAACTTCTCAGATTAGAACGCATCAGACCTCTCTCAGTTCTCAGGGAGTATGTAGAGGCCATGATGGAGAACTGTGGATTTCTCTCTGGTGTGGATATGTTTTCTCTTTTACCTCTAAACTTCTACGTCAAGACTTCGTGTGACTGAGCTCTGCTTTCAAGAGTTCATGACTCTTTTCCTCCATGATTTGAAAATGCATATTCAAAAGATTAAAATATGGAGCTGGCTGGGCAAGGTGGCTCACACCTGTAATCCCAGCACTGTGGGAGGTCGAGGCAGGTGGATCGCTTGAGATCAGGAGTTCAAGACCAGCCTGACCAACATGGTGAAACCCCGTCTCTACTAAAAATACAAAAATTAGCCAAGCATGATGGCAGCCACCTGTAATTCCAGCTACTCGGGAGGCTGAGGAAGGAGAATCACTTGAACCCTGGAGACAGAGGTTGCAGTGAACCGAGATCACGCCACAGCATTCCAGCCTGGGTGACACAGCAAGACTCAGTCTTGAAAAAATACAATACAATACAATACAATACAATATAATACAATACAACACAATACAATACAATACAATACAATACAATACAAGATAGAGCTGGAGTTTTGCTGGTTACTATTATTTAATCAGAGGACATATCACCCTCCTCACAAAGGTGAGAATCACACAGTCCTGGGAGGTTGTTTGGGCACCAGCTACAGGCCCACAGGCACCGTCGGCAAAATTAAATGTGTGTGTTACACACAGACGTCTCATCTCCATGGGCTTACAACCACCAAGCTGGGCAAATAAAAGGGAAAAGAATTTTTCATTTTTATTTTGTTTCTTCCAAATTAAAGCATGCCTTTCCTATTTATAAAAGTTCTGTTTTTGGAAACACTTCTCATCATACTTTACCATGAGCAAGGTAAGAGAAGTTTTATATATAGGAAAGCATGTTTTTATTTTTGTTTTTATTTTATACAAGCAAAGAAGAAAATAAAAGCAAAACAAATGTGTACCTCTCTGAAGTGTCTACTCTCAATGTTTTGTGTTTGCCGCGCCCCATAGTCTATACACATATGTACCTGCAAAGAGGATTGTTCACCTGTGGGCTTGTCTAACATATATTTATTTTATAATATGTCACATATATCTTTTCATAATTTTAAAAAAATTATCTCTTCACTATAATGAAATGAGTATGTTTGCATTCTGAGGTGTAACACAGTTTAATTTAATTAGCAAATCAATGCATATTTACTATGACTATGATTGTTTGTATTTTAACCAATGTTGTGATGACATTCTTTGCAATACATTTCCCAAAGGACAATTTTTCAGCCTTAGGTTTTTCACGTTTCATATCTCTGAGATTTTGCTCCATAAAGCTATATGGATTTGGATCCTCATTAGAGACATATCTGCACTCATTTCTGATAAATGCACACAGGTATCTCCAGGACTTATACCCTGCCCAGAATACATTGGCTTTCTATAAATACTGTTGAGTGAATACATGTATTTTAATATTACCACGGTGTTTTTTAACCTCTGTCAACATGAGAAGCAAAATCTACCTCCTTGTTTTAATTTACATTTGTTTAATTACCTGTGAGGCCCAACATCTTTTCATAAATGCTCAGCTAATTTGTGTATTTATTTTTCCTCTTGTGAACTGACTACTCATTTTCTTTTGATGTTATTGATGTGTAGGATTCTCCTTGTTGATTTGTAAGAATAATTTAGAAACTAGTGAGTAAATCTTTGTTTTGTGTGTCAATTTTTTTTTCAAAAAAAACCAAACCTTCCCAATCTAATTCATATATTCAATAGCATCTTAAGACATTTTCAATATTTCATTGCATATTTATATATACAACATGAGTTTTAAATTTCATTTCAGGAAAGTGTAGAAATATGGGCTGACTTGCTATCCTTTTTTTTTTTTTTTTTTTTTTTTTGAGATGGCGTTTCACTCTTGTTGCTCAAGCTAGAGTGCAATGACATGATCTTGGCTCACTGCAACCTCAGCCTCCCAGGTTCAAGCGATTCTCCTGCTTCGGACTTCTGAGTAGCTAGGATTACAGGCATGCGCCACCACATCTGACTAATTTTGTGTTTTTAGTAGAGACAGGGTTTCTCCATGTTGGTCAGGCTGGTATCGAACTCCCAACCTCAGGTGAGCCACCCGCCTCGGCCTCCCAAATTGCTGTGATTATAGCCGTGAGCCACCGCGCCTGGCTTAAGACTTACCATCTTAATGAAATGTAACCTTCCAATCTAAGAAGCAGGTATGATTTTCAATATTTCATCATATGTTTGTATGTACAATGTGACTTTTAAATTCATTTCAGAAAAGTGTAGAAATACTTAAAATGATATACAAATATTACCCTTTCAACCAATAGCAACTGAAGGTCATCCAGCTCTCCAGGCATTCTGCTCAAAAAACAGCCTCTATGTACCTTCTGAAACATTGCATTGCAACGTTGAATGAAGGGCTCAGATAATCTCAACATTTGTCTCCAAAATATTCCCATTTTAAATCCGCCATGCATGGATTTATGGAATGAATCACTCACTGCCTTTGCTGGTCCTGAGGGTCTGGAGCCCTCAGCACCTCTGGGGGAGAAAGGCGTTTCACCTCGCCACTGCCTGCTGTCATGGGGGAGCTGCTCCTCATTTAGTGGAAAACAGGTCTTTCCCACCTCCAGGCTGCCTTTGCCTTCACCATTCCTTTATTCTTTTATTTCTTGGCTTGGTCATTGTGTAAGCTTTGATTATATCATTGTTCAGTGTTTAAATTTAATAGGAAAGGTTTCTGGTATCTTTAGCCTGGTCTCAGACACAGCCTCGCCTTTCTGATTCTCGGGTGGATCCGCAGTTTTATGAGCCAGGCACTCCCACTGCCTCCCACTCACAACGGAAGGCTTGAGGCTGAGTGGAACAAATACGGTCACAACACTTAAGAAGTGGAGCCGGGAAGCAAGTCCCATCAGCAGGACCCAGGAGTCAATATGTTCTGCGCTGTTGAAGTTGAGAGAAATATTGCGCCCGTCTCTGAAACAGAGATAAAATAATACTACAGTTGGATCAGAAAAGAAAAATGAAAAAATAAAAACTTTGAGGAAGAACTTTGATGGAAGAAACTATTTCCATGACCCTTTTCCTCTCTGTCTCCAATGGCATTGCCTTCCTGGTGAAGGGACATTGAGATGCTATGGCTGAGAATGCAGAGTGGAGAACCCTTGGAGGTCCCACCAGCTGCCACCAACCTCCTGTCTTCCCTGCCTGGGTCCATGGCTGGCCTGCCCTGGCATCCATGTGACTTCTGGACTGAGTTCCAGCTGGTGGGATACGAGGGGAAGCCGCACCTGCTGCACCCACTCCTGGCTCATACAACCTTGCACAGGCGGCCCCCCGGGGGCTTTCCTTCTGTGGAGGGACAGGCCAAAAAGCTTGGAGCCCACAAGCTGAAGGTGAAGAGTCTCTGGATTGCTGCTAGGAGACCAGTCTGCTGCCAGCTAGGATTGCCTGGTTTGGATTTTATCTGAGAGAGAAATAAAGTGCTTTTTGTGTTGGACCTGTTGTGCATTTTGGGCTGAACAGCTAATATTACTAACTCCTTTAGTTATGTGTCCTTCCTTGTAAAAGGTCTATGAAAGGTGATTTAAAAATGCATCCATGTTGCATGTTAAAGTACATTTCAAATAACGAGAAACTCTAACTAGGATAAGAATAAAGTTAGGAAATGAGGATGGAGCCAGGAATGAAGCTGTTCTGAAATGGGGGGAACATGAAGCTCCACTCTCTGGCTTGGGGGACAAGTTTGAATCCAAACTAGAAACAGAGGACAGGAAAAGGGAAATAGAATCAATGGCAGAAGAAAAACACAAGTAGAAATAACATCAGTGATGGCATTGCATCTGTCAGCTGGACTGAAGCATTTATTTACTGTGATAAACCCAATAGGAATCTATTTTCATCCTTTTATGTAGATGTAGGCATGCATATAGCTGACATCAATACAGATCAAACAGACAGTGATCTAGTTATAGACACAGACCTAGACTTAGACATAGGTTTAGATAGGGCTTAGAAATGCCTTTATCTCCCACTCTCCTCTCAGCCTCCACCAGTGTGTGAAATTGTCCTATTGGAGTCTCCTTTTGAGTCATCCATGGATGACTACTCATTAGCTAACTCATCTGGCCTCTTTCTTCCTCTAACTTTTTCTTCCCTTTCCTCTGTGCCTCTTCACCTGCCCCAACTTAGTCCTGAGCATCTGTGGCCTCCTGCTCACTGTGTATGCCTGCAACTCTGACTCCTGTCCCACAAAAGTTCTTGTTCCTCAAATCTTATTCTGGGTCACTCCTGTTTATCTCAAGGATGCCTGTGGCTTTATCTCCCTTTCCTTAATGATGCACCCCAAACCTCTGTCTCCCCCTGAGATGCCTCCTCATTTACCTAACAGGCTGCTGGCTGTCCCCACTGGTGCCTGACCTAGGAACCTGACACATCCCACATTCGGAACCAAGGCTGTGCCCTCCTCCACAGTCCACGTGGGGTCTCACTGCATTGCCATTGTTTCAGGGCTGCTTCCCAAGCCAGAGAAGTAGCAGCCATCCTGGATTGATTCCTTCCTCTCCCCACAGATTCCATCAGTCCACAGTGCTGCTGACTTTGCTTTCTGCACTTTTCTTAGATTTCCCGTTTCTCACCATCACCATCCTGGGAGCCACTTGCAAAGTACTGGCCTGGTCACCATCGCCTCTCACCAGCTTACAGCAAGTGTCCCCTATCCAGCCCACCTTCCTCCAGTCTTGTTCCAGTTCAGTAACTTATTCTAGCTTCTTTAGTAAGTCACGTGCTGGGGCTGACATGCCTCTACATGGCTCCTCCTTCTTGCCTTCCTCTCCTTTGCTAGCATTACTGACGTAGCCTGTATGTCCCTTTGTGCCAGGAACTGTTTAATGTGATTTTCTGCTATTATCCCATTTAATCCTCAATATAGCTCTCTGAGGAAGGTAGCCTAGTCACCCTCTAGGATGGTGAGGGAACCAAGAGTGTGTAGTGCCTTCCCCTTGCACGCGTAAACTCACCTGCACATTGTTCTCTGCTGGTGGCATTATTTCCTCCAGCTTCACAGGGCGAATCCCAACCCATCTTTCATCCCTAATTATGGACACCATCTGCTCAATAAAGGCATATGGTGCTCCTCCATCTGCCCAGAGAGTTGCTGAGCCCCTGTACGTCAACAGCCTTTAGCTGCCGCTATGCCAAGATTGGGAGGAAGCTCCCTGAGGACAGGGCCATATCTGACCTTTCCTCAGTTACATCTTCCACATTGAGTATAATATGGTCACATAGGTGGCTTATTAAATACTTCCCTAAAACATGAGTAAACATGACATCAAAATGGTATCAGTCACTGCAAGGAAAATATCGTTTATGACATTTTGCAAATGTATGAAAATTTAAATGTATTTTTGTTCATGAATAGTCACTATGGTGCATGCAATATATTTAAGCAACAGTAAGTGGCTCAGTGAGTTAATGCAAGTGAGAAATATGTACCTACATGAAACACCCCATATATGAAGTTTTTTGTATTCCTTTTTTCTTTTTTTTGACAGAGTTTTGCTCTGTCACTCACTGCAACCTCCGCCTCCTGGGTTCAAGCAGTTCTCCTGCCCCAGCCTCCCTAGTAGCTGGGACTACAGGCCTCTCCCATCAGGTCTGGTTAGTTGTTGTTGTTGTTGTTGTTTGTATTTTTAGTAGAGACAGGGCTCTGCCACGTTGACCAAGGTGTTCTTGAACTTCTGACTTCAGGTGATCTGCCTGCGGTAGCCTCCCAAAGTGCTGGGATTATGAGTGTGAGCCACCATGCTCAGTCCTCATATATGAAGCTTTGAATGCTGTGTATAGGGATTCAGACTTTACAGGCTGCCACTTTCATTATAGATTTATGTTGCACCCTACTCTTAGTCTCTACATTTTAAATTTTACATTCTTAAGGATCACCTTGTCTTACCATCATTCTAGTCAGAGTCAGTTTTTTTTTTAAATAAAAACAAACTAACAAATAAAAAACAAACAAATAAAAAAACAGACTAGACGAGTTAAATGATCTACTTTAGCCCAAATACTGGCATAGAAGTAACCAGGAATTTTCTTACTCCTGATACATACATATATATGTCTATTTATGTATGTTTCCTATTATCCATATAAATGCAAAATTTTGATTTTAGACACAAAACAAAGGACTACACGAATGAATATATTTGTATTATTATATAAGCAATATGAACTTGCTGAAGAATATCTAAAATACTGAACAGTTTAGCAAAATAATATTCATAATTCTATTACCTAGCAGTAACTTCTGTAAATATTTTAGGATATATCATGCTTGTTCTTTTATTTTCAATATATTTTCATATTTAACATTTTTGCAACTTGAGTGCAAAATTTTCACTTAATATTATAATTATTATTTCCCAGTTTATTAAATATTATTTTAAACATGCTTTTATGTTTATGTACTATTCTTTCACATGTGGTTATTTTCATTAACAAATTATAATTTTAGATGTACATCAGCACTAACATGGGTTATTGTTGCTGTTATATTTAATATAATTTCCTCAGGATCAATTTATAAAACGTAAGCACTATGTCAAATTCCCAAATGTTTTGAGTTTCTTTGTGTGAGCTGATTTCTCAAATGATTGTGCCGGTTTATAAAAGCAGAGTTTAAGAGGATTCACCCCATATCGTAAATAAATAGTGGTTTCATGATATGTTCTATAAATTTATTTTGGCAAAGCTTAAAGTCGTTTAACCATGGTCATATACTACGTCCTGGATGTTGTTCTGTTGGGTTTCGTTTAACCAGTCTTAACAAATGATACGAAGTATTTCCTAAAGAACTTATAATCCAGTAAATGACTTTTTGATGGCTCATGGAGGAAATTGGCTTTGAGACCACACTTCTTCCCACTTCTTCAATACAAAAGAAAAACATGTTCTTATTATTACAATTTTGGACACTCAAGCACATTCCATGGTTCTATATTGGTGATGAAAACTGCCTACGAACAACTACCAACCTCTTTTATGCTGCTTATTTTTGGAGATGTCCAAATTTAAGATTAAGGATTCTAGAAATTTGTTTCACACATGCTCTTTCTCTTTCTCTCAAGGTTAGGGTACCCAGTGTCTTCCAAACTAAAGTATTGTAATATTACCCTGCCACCTAGGGGTATTGCCAAAGAAATCTATGCATGCATATAGAAGTGTAGTGTATCGGTCAAAATGTGAAAATTATGTTACTAAAGTCTGTAAATAACACTCACAATTATGTTTTTATATTTTGTTTTCTCTTTCATAATAGTCTTTGTTCCTGAAACCAAATGAGAATGGTGTGATGGAAACAAGTAAGAATTCCCCATTTCAGAAACGTGGGATTTTTAAAAGACAAACATGATAAAACTGAGTATTACCTTGCGGTGGCCCACTAGGAGTTCACGGTTTTTCAAGTTCTCGAGGCCCATTGCATATTATTTCTCATTTATGACAGTTTGAAGCGCCCAGGGGACAAATTTCTGTTTAGAACACGGTCACTTGGTCATTGCTTTGGGTGGGCAGTGAGTCTAGATCATAGTATAAATATATGGTCTCATTGATCAAATTATTTATACCATTACACGTGATGACAAATTGTCCCCCACATTGTTGACCTGTGATGTCAGTTTTTAGGTCTAACAACCTTGTCTTGTTCCCTAAAAATAAGCTTTTCCTGATGAAATGTACTAAAACGAGGAATCTAGGTATTCAACCCCAGCAGGAATGTCTACATACTTTGTGGATATGGGATTTTGCCTTGAGAGATGTAAGAATGAAGATGAATTTAGAGAGATTGTGAGCACACACATAGAACAGATGCCAGCATTGTTGGAGAAGCACACTTTGCTATCATTTAAAGTTATTGGAGCAAGCAAGCTAAGTTTCGTTTTGAAAATGCATCCCCTATGAGCCAGTACAATTTCTCCTTGTCCTGGAATTTGAAGCATTGAAAGAAAGACGTGGCAGAGAGGCTCATGCCGTCATCTATCTCTGACATACATGTCGTCTCAATTTTGTGTTGCTGATCCAGGAGAAAACGAAACCCGGCAACCTCACAGGACAAATTAATCAATCCAATACTCAATATTTTGAAAAAAATTAGCATGACTAAGAGAAAGAGAGGGCGTGCTGCATCAGGATTGACCACCCTGATCCTATTCCCACAGTTAGTTGGCCCAGTGAATGTTGAGTTGTTCTCTGGCCTTGAAAAGATGTAATTACTCTCTGTAAGAATATTAACAGAAGACGAATCTTTCCTTTCCAAACATTAGAAAAATCCACCCCACACCTGTTTTCTTATATTTCCTCTTTTCAAGGCAGCGAGAAGAAATTGAAAGATGTAACTAGTCGGGGTTTTGCTTAGCTTGGGGCTTTTCTTCATCCTGACAGGCCTTTGTTCCCTGCACACAGAGTGCTCTAATTACACCCTCTCCAGTCAGGGCTCCAGGTGGAGGGGCGATGCAAATGCCAGGTGCCTTTTCTCTTCTCATTACGATCTGTCTCTTTCTGAGCACATCACTTTCAGGAAGGGTGGGGGCTTTTTCTTTTGAGTTAAAAACACCTTTCGTCATCTCCATTTTATTCTTACCAATTTTGCTCCAAATCTCATTCCTGTTAAGATGGCTGAACACAATGCCATTTTTGATTGTTTGCTGTATATGCTAATATTTGAATTCGGGACTTTGCGATAAGGGCATTGAGTTGCCTGTGTCACCCCTTGTGCTGACTGCAGCTCCATATACAGATCCTGGGAAGCCGTCTGGGAACACGGCTCCCAATATGACCACACTGGGCCAGCATAATGACACCATTCAAAATGCAATCTAGGCACTCCAGGACTCTCACACTAATATGAAAGAACCTCCAATTAGCTGAGCCCTTCTCCATTTAGACTTTTTATAGGAGTTTGATTTGTGCTTTTTAATTAGCAGGTTATTCTAATAACCTTTTAAAGCAAAGTTATCCAATAACCAGGCTAGCTTTTTTAATAAGCCCAGTTGTTGAATTAGTTAGGAAAAAAATATGAAAAGGAGCTGTGTAATATTTTGGTGTAATATAAATCTCTTTACAAGTCCTTTTCAATTTTGCATTTTCTACTGTAAGTTTTGGCAGTGACATTAGTTCAGAGGATTCCTCTTCTTACTTTGAGGAGAGTCAAATTTTCAGCATCTGATGGAATGACACAAATAGAAATTCTTTGAGTTTTTATTTAATTTCTTATGCAGTTTTAAATTTTAACACAAAAGAATTATTAATGTAAGTTAAATGTTTTGTAATAAAATCTCTACTTGTTAAATAAAAATTTTGAATAGAAAGTTATGACTAATTTTTATAGAGGTACAATATTCAAATTATACAAAATAAATGGAAATTATTAACTGTGCTGTAACTTGATATTTTCTCTTTGCATTTATTTAGATAATAGATAATTGACTACAAATTTTATAAACAGCATTTAAAATTAGGGATCTACATATATTTTAATATATATATAGGCATTCAATTGAGTTTTTGAGTAAATATTATGTCATAAATTGTCAATTTTTAAAATTATGCCATCTTATGTATACTATGTATTATTTTAATGTACTCAGTTCCCTTAATAATACATTGTATTGAAAACGCTGATATTAATTAGGTTGCTGTTGACTTTACAATGTTTTCTTCCTTGATTTATGTTTTAACAATTAAATTATTGTTTTCTATTAGGAATCACTTTTATAAAATATCTTTAAATGATGAAATCAAGTAATTGTTATATTATTATAAATATAAATTTTGTGTTATATTACAATTCTCATATGTCATTAAATAAGTGATCATTTCTGAAATCAAGCATTTTCATTAACAGGCAACTATATTCCACAGTGAACTGTCCTAATTAATTAGCCCCGATGTGCTATACTGAGATTACATCATTACAAGTAAAATGTGTGGAGGGAAAAATTAGATCCCACAATTTTTAAAATAACTATTAGTGATTATGTTTCTTATGGTGAGTATAGTATGGGATTACTTTTACAATTGTTAAATTCAATTGATAAAATTGTAGGTTTTATGTAAAATAATTCACCTAAATCAAAGATTCTGAGCTAAATGGGTGGCAGAATGACAATGTTTCTAGTAGTATGATCTTTTGAACATTTGCTTGTGTTCCAAAATCACACTCAATTTTATAAAATGTATAAAAAATAGAAAATGGTGACTAGGTTCTTATAAATTTAACCTTTCTTAGGAATCACTGGAGACGTCTGTGTGTGCTGCAAGGAGTCTGTGGGAGAAGGGGTCACTCTCACCTGAGCGCTGGTTCCCCTGAACTGTGGGAGCCTGGAGGAGAGAAGTCTAAGCGCAGGAAAGCACATGTGCCCATGAGAACTTGGAAACTCAGCCCATGTCTGATCAGCCTTCACCTCCAGAAGCTGCTGTGCTGTCTGAATGGTTCGCAATGATTCTGAGGGTTTTTCTAAACAAATACCATTCTTGCTCTCTTTGCTGTACTCTAACATTAGGTGCCTCAGATTTTTCTCTGCCAAAATCTGTAAAGGAAAAACAATTGAAGGCATTTTAGCCATTTTTTTTAAAGTAACGTATTTCTGAAGTCAATGATTTACTTGCTGTGGTTTACAAATCAGATGGACTGCCACTGGGAGAGTTCTACTGTCTTAGTGCACACATTGAAAAAAAAGTATTTAAAAAAAAAAAAAAAAAGAAAAGAAAACGTGGTGAAGTAGTGCACTTTTGAACCACTTCTATCTTAAAATTTTGTCATTCTTTTTTCCCTGGAAGCCAAATTATTAACAATTTAGAGTAAGAGTTAATGAAAGTAAGCAGCATATTTGTCACTTAATTCTGCCATTGCAAGAGGTGAATAATTATGCACACTGTCAGTTACTCCAAAGAAGAAAGAAGAGAAGGAGTAGCGGGGAGAGGAAGAGGAAGAGAAGGAGGAAGAAGAGGAGAAGGAGGAGGAAGAGAACAACAACCCTCACCACTACAGCAAAAGAAACGGAGAAGGAAGGAAAGAAGGAAGAATAGAAGAAAAGTAGAAAGGAGAAGTTTCTTCTACTAAATAAATCAGTGGTCAAGCACGGAAGCTGTTTCAATTTTTAATTATAAAAAAAGTAAAGATGACAGAAGAATTTCTTGTATACTAGATCTCCCTAGGTCGATCAAGATGAGGATTAATTCACTTCTCACAACAAACCTTTACAGTGCAGGGAAACTCAGGCAGAGATATTGAGTAACTTGCTCAGTGTCATGCAGCTTTCATGTTGTGGAACTGGGGGTGGAACCAAACATTCTAGTTCTCATCGCCAAATCTTAACCCCTGGTACCTGAAGGATGTCCTGGCTCTTCAGTGTGGCTGGGAGCAGATCAACTCCCTGTGGTTATACTGAGTGCTCTCACATGTAATGGGGGATTATAATGCCCGGGTTGTTGCAAGAATTAAATTTGTTGCAAGAATTAAATGATGCAATTGTTTAATGTCATATGCTTTCTACTGTTTGTGAGTTGGGGGCAGGGGGTGTGTGTGTGTGTGTGTGTTTGTTGCTCATGTGTCTATAATCCTAGAATTACCATATTGTCTTCATTGTAGTAGAAGCTCAATAAATAGAAACAATTTAAACACTGTGTTTAAAGTGTTCTTGGAGAATAATTTTAATCATTAAAAAATCTCATTATTATTTTTATTAAAATTGTTATTTGTACATTCATCATACCCTATTTCTGTTATGAGACCACAGGATTATTTAGTTAAGAGATGGTAATTGACCAATTTTTATACTCTCTAGTTCAATGTGTCTTACACAGTGGGCACGAAATAAATATTGGCCAAATGCAATTAAGTGGCCTTTTACTACAGGGCATTGTAATTCTTTGCTCATTTTGGAAGTGCTGAAGTAAAGAGAGGACTTGTTTTGCAGACTTAATATTCATGAGGTATCTGTAACGATGAGGCAAATTTACCCTCAAACTGTCTTTTTCCCAAGTGTCATATACACCGGAGAGGAAACAGCGGAACCAAACCTGGCTTTCTCTGAGGACTCCCTAGTCCGAGATGACTTGTGAAAACGGGCAGCACAATGTGAAAGAGAATGTACTTCAGGAAGACAAACATTGAAGGACATTTTATAACCACAGATGCAGATGAGAAATCAGAAACACACACAGATGGAAAACATTGATTAATAACAGTTTCAAGATCAGCGACCGACCTCCTCCTGAAATAGTCATGCAGAGAGCAGGTGTAAAATGTCTTACTTTCACTCCACATTTTTGTTAGATTAAAATCTTTAATGTTTGCTTTCACCGTGGCTCCTCTTAAGGACATGAACACAAGGAAATAGCATGTTTTGTGATGTCAAAGGCTGCTATTAACTCGATAGAGCCGGTTGCAGACCTTATGAGTCCAGTCTTGTCTCTTGGCAAGCCTTCTACCTCAGCAGGGGAAAATCTGAACTCTTCTCACCTCTCTTTGATTTCCAAGTCAAGCAGGTTTATGGGTATACCCTCTGGCATCAGGCTGAAGTGCAGGGGCCTGTATCTGTAGCGAGGGTTAAAACAAGACAGGTCGTTACGTTGATCGGACTGCTGGAATGAGTGTGTGTGCGCCTGTGTATGTGCGTTCCTGTGTGTGACCTCACAAAGCCCTGCTTAGTGTTCCCATGTTAGGACATCCCATGTCCATCACCCACATAGACCCACATGGAGTAGGCGCACTTCATTATACAAATGATGTTGATGTCAGCAAACTCGAAAGCACAAAGAGAGCAAAAGTGATAGAGGGGCTGAAAGGACGGATTTATGAGAATGAATCACATTTTGTCTGGCTTACATAATGCTTTTGGGGAATTCTAAACAGGAGCTCTGAGAAAAAAATACCTGGAAAACAATAAAAGGGCTGAATCTTAATGAGTAGGAAAACTTAGGGGAACAAGTGAAGAGATGCACAAAAAACTCGGTTAGATTAAGTGGGGACACCTACGCTTTGATGCTGTGATTTCTGAAGAAACACATGCGTTGCTGGAGGACCTGGTAGAAGACTCATAACAGGGTTATTATTTTAGGCGAAAGTGAATGGACCGTATAAATTTAAATTGCAAAAGGCCTACTGGAAAATAAATAAATGATGGATGTAAACCCTAGCACATGCTAGAATCTGAATTATCTAAGGAGTTGGAACCTTCACACGTTAAATCTGCTAGGGGAGCTCTCAGCAGACAGTGTGCTGGGATCTGAGTGAATCGCTGTGGCCTGCTAGGGGCCATCAGTATCATTTCCCTTTCTATACACTTGGCTCCACACTTGATTATAGAGGATAACTATCTGACAGTCTGACCCCTGGGAATAAAGTAAATATCAACTGGGTCTTGATATTTGCTGACATCGGGAAACAAAGGAAAAACCCATTTACCTATTGACGTGAAATGCCAAGTGAGCACAAGTGCTTCCATTCAATGAAAGTTGACGACGCCTTGCAGTAATTTCTCATAATTTTTCCCTAAAGAGCTTTGCCTTTGCCCTATTTTTCAGACTCCTTCCTGTGAGCTGAGTCAGGTGCAAACTTGTTTTTCCTGGCCAGGTACCCACTGCAACTAATGGTGACATGGCCGGTGACCAATCTCCTAACAACAAATAGGAAAGTGTATGTACACTGTGGCTGTAGCCATGCTGGGGAATCGATTTGCAGCGAAATACCTTAGACATGATGATAACTACATTAGATTTTATGTGTTTTAGACTTAAAATGTTTGATTAGCAGTGTGCAAAAGTGTGTGTGTGTCCACTGGGGAGAAGGTCATTACATTATTGCAAAGACAGGAGATTACAGACAAGATTAAAGAGGTTATATCATGAGTCAGAGACTGTAGACCGTAGACTGGTGTAATTTTTGGGAATTTGGGATATTTTGACATATTCATTGTGATTAAATCCACCACGTATTGCAAAGTCTGGAAGTGAGATAAAGGCAAGAATAAGTGTATTTTATGGCTAACATAAAAACCATCACTAAACTTCCTTCCCAGCAGATTTCCAAGGTAATAATTACACTTTTGATTTACAAGAAGTATAATGAATTTGAGATCCTCCAGTTTGTATCAAATGTCCCCTTAATACAATAAACATATATTTCTTAAAATAACCCATTTCATAGCACTCACTTTAAGCAGAAACCACATGCCAATTTCCTATGTTGCAATGTTTTCAGAATCCGGTTTCATAGGACATTTTCTTTCTCATGCTGGGGAGTTCCCCAAGGGAAGACCAGTACCTGTTGAAATGCTCCATCCTTGTTGGAACGGGTTGTAGGACGATTTCCCTGCAATTGACTTACTGAGGCAATGGTGATTTTTAAACATTGTCTTTTCCTAGTTAATCTCATCAAAGTGACGAAACTCTTCGGTCTGACTACATTTACTTCTCTGTGAGTTCAGCACTATTTCTTCGGAGGTTAGGGGAAACAGAAACCCCCTCTCCTGGCCTCTGCTGATATTTTCAGGTTTTCTTCTCTTGCCTGGCTTCTCCCTGCCTCCTACTTAGCCTCTGTCTACCCCTCATTACCATCCCCTCCACAGGCTTTCCTCCCCACTCTGTTACCCTCATGATAGGCGGATAAATCACCCTTTAGTGAGGGTGAGGCCAGTCCTAAATTGGTGAATTGGGAAGATTATCCAAATGTTCTTTTTCGTTCACAGACTACAAGGAATATCAACTTTATTTTTTCTGTACCAAACAGAGAAATAATTATGACCCTAAATACAGTGGTAAAAAAAAAAATAATTGTGCATATTGAAGAACCACTTTTTCCAAACGTGACTCTGAAAAATGACAAAGTAGTTGAAGCTCATCATTTTTCAGGAGATTCTCACTTCGTTGATAGCAAACCTGAACATTTTAAACCAAGTGGGTGATGAGAGGAAGCGAGGGAATGCTGTATGAATAATCTAATGATGCTGTAAGAGAAGGAATATTTGTTCTTAAGGAAAAGTTAGTCAAAGGGCGCCTTGCCCACAAATTATACATCGGGGAGGCAGTCTTAACTTCCACCCATGCTCACGGGCTCATCTATCAGACACATTTTGACAGACAACACAATTACACAACGTCTCATTATTTACAGCCACATGGCCTCAGCACGAGACAACAAGAGTGAAACTCCCACAAGTTTTTCTTCCGTCTTGCTGGGACGGAAAATGCCAGCCGCCTCGGCATTTTGTTTCTAACACTTGTTTAATTGCTCAGCGACAGGGCAGAGACTGTAGGGACGCTGCCCAGAAGCTAAACCCCAGCATGACATGCCCGTGAGACCAAGGGTGTCCGCCTTGCACGTACCTTTGGAAACGATGCCATGTGTCTAATGAGTGTGGACACCATGCCGGATCCTATCGCATGTCAGGTTTACACCTGAACTGGTACAACTGGGGAAAGCAGGAGTCCTCTAAAACCAGTTGTCCCTACAGAGAGAGCTCCAACTGCCCTGCAAGCTCTGACACAGGCCGAGACCAGAGGCCCTAAACAAAGGCGTGCTCCCTCAGCCTCAGCTGGAGACAAGGTGCCCGGAGCCTTCTCGTCTCCCGGAGAGAGAGGCCTGGAGCAGCAGGTGGCAGCATTGTCACAGCCCTGAGGCCAGCCTGGGCTGCAGGCACACCCTCCGTCCCGCAGGAAGTTTTGCATATGGAGGGGTACTTCGACCTTTTGTGGATTTATTGTTACCTCCTTGAGGGCTCCATTGTTCGCCTGCCACTAAATCCAGTCGTTAGAGTCGTCCAGCACTTGGGGGCGACTCGTCTGAATGACTTGCCTCGGTCAGTTTTGACTGCACGACACAACCTGCATTCTTTCTCCTTGGTTCTGCCAGACTGAGGTCTTGGGACCACAGAGAAACCGTGAAGGTCTGTCTCTTGGAGCTTTAAAAAAAAATAACGCCAACAACAACGGCAAAGAGGAGTGGAAGAGAGAGAAGGAAGTGGGGAGAAGAAATAGGGGGAAATCCAATGTAATGTCCTCTTTTCTTCTTTAACGTTGAGAGTAAGATAACTCCAGGTAGGGGGGATACAGATTTTTCTCTCCTTCATCTTCCTTTCTTTAATCGCTTTATTAAGTAGTGATTGAGACGGGAGGCATTTGATTCCTACTTTTCATCTGACTCTGGGTCCGGTTCAGCTCACGGAAGCCGGGACGTGGAAGGGATGGCTGAGTTTCCCTTCACACCATTAAGGAAAAGAATAGCCCTGATCTAGCAAGTTCCACTGATTTCAGGGGAAACGGGGTCTTTTTCCTCTTTCCAGCTTACCAAGCCAGAAGCACGAGACAGAAAGAGAACGCATTTTAAATAAAACTGGAGCGTGAGCATGTGCCAGGCTAAACTCACACGTGCAGGGAGGGACTAACGTGGTCCCTTCGCATGGCGGCAGGCAGCGCGCTGGCTTTACCTGCAAGCATGACCCAATTAGGCTTTGATATTGAATTGCACTGGTGACATAGAATGCAATTTTTTCTGTCTTTTTGTTTTTGCTCCCTGTACTAATGCACACACAGGGCATTTCCAGTCCTGATTAAACATTGTCCTGTCTCTATAACTCCATTATGCACACATTCTATCTGTCTGTCTGTCTCTCTCTCTCTGCAGGTGCACACACACACATACACACATACACACACAGAGACACACATGCTTTCTTGCCCTCTCCATCTGAGTAAATTAGTAGTGATTTCTTATATATGTTTAATAGTTCACAATAAAACCTCCTTCCATTAGAGGTACATCCAGCTGCCACAGTGGAGGCCAAAAACTGACACCACTGAGTTGCAGAGGCAGGTTATGTTTAAAATGATGCCAGATTGAAGGACCAGGATTCATTAAATCCGGCAGAGTTTCTCATTAAACATGTGGATTGACAGTCAGAAGTAACTGTCATTTGTGGCTTTTTTATAGTCCCCCTACTCGATAATTTTTTTTTGCACTAGTGATATTATATTTAGAATAAAATAGTAAAATTGTGACTATCCGGAGACTGGTAGATGCCTGCTTTGGATAAAAACAGCAGTTTGCTCCCACTGCCTTCCTACTCTCTCTCTCTGAGAAGGACTCGAAGAACAGTTAAGCCCAATCAGGAAGCTGGTCACTAATATGCCCACTTTAAGTCAAAATAATAGATAGAATAAACCCCCTGCTACCTGTAATATATTTATATATTAATTATAAAGAAATTCACAGCAAGGACTTTTCATTCTATTAGCATTTAATTCATGCGTGCATTTCACTTTAACTACAGCCAATAAATCCTTTATGGCAAATTCCTCTTAATATGACTATGGAAGAAGGGTCAAAAAATTAACATCTTTTTATGCTCAAAAAAGTGACTTGATGAAGGAAAAAGACACACTCATTACAAAAATACCATTTTTCCTCAAACATCTGAGGCCCCTAGGTGACACTGTTTTGCATCTTAACATAAAATATGTAATTCAGAACCTTCTGGTGTTAACAGATAGCGCCAGAGTACTCTGCCCTGGGCAGTTTGCAAAGATGCAAGATAGTCATGCCTTGAGGTATGTAAAGAAAATATTTCTTCCATAAATATGAGATCCTGATTGCCAATGAGGAGATATTCTGGAAAGCACTGTCAATATAAAATGTCATCTATGGGCAAAGATGCTTTCCTGAATTAAAAAGATTATGTATATGCATCTTTGTGTGTATACACATACACACACATACACATATATATTTACATATTCAAAAATGTATGTAAATGATGAAAAAAGCTGTAGGAAATACTCTTTCAAAAATAAATGCAGTCTTCCAAAGAACAACCCGAAGAATCTACTTGTTACTTGGAGATTTTTTACTAAGAAAGGCATCCGTGAATCTCTGCCCTGTTTTGCTTCACCTTTCTATTTATTCACTTCCTTAAATGGATCCTCTTATAAACATTAAGTGTCCTGAGAAGCACACTCCTCTCTGGGCAAAGCTTTCTTCATTTTATACGCTTACTTTGTGGAAGGAACAGTTCAATTGACAATAAACTGATTTTTCACTCACAGTCTCTTTTCTTCATTCTGTCAGAAGCTTGGATTTCTCTCTCAAGGTAGATTCTCGAAGGCCCCTTGAGCTGTTATGAATGTGAAAGCACTCTCTCTGGGAAGCTTTCTCTCATTCTTTTTTCTCATTCTTTCAATGAGAATTCATTTCAGAGGGCTGCTTTGTAGCCTTTGCGTATAAATATAGATAGACGTAGATAGGGAAGGAGTAGATCCAGATCCAGATATAGATATGCCTGTGCTTAGAGGCTCTGGGTGTCACCTTCCCTCTGATTTGCATGCCTGCCTCTCTTCCCCTAGGGCAGGCAGAGATGTTCTGGTGCTTTTTGTGTATCACTGACTTCCCTTGTCAAGCACTTTAAAAAATAAATGATTAGGAATTTATTTTAAAAAAATCACCTTTGTCCTTGGATCGTAAAGCATTACTTGAACATTCTATCTGAGCATAGCATAAACCGTAGTAACATGTGCAATTTTAAATCAACAGTATCTTCATGATCTTGACATTCGTAATCTTGCAAGTCAAGATCGCAAACAATATCCTCTTCAAGTTACTTAAAATTTTTGAATTCTTACTGAATAAAAGAACCCAGAATACCTAAAAATATGTTAGCCAAGTAAACTTTGTGGAAAAAAAAATTATTTAAAAGAATGTAACCAAATGCCTGAACAATTCTGCAGCTTGATTCAAAAGGATATGGAAAATTGAAGATGCCCACAGAATTTCTCATGGTTTTTTGTCCATAATGGATGTTTTTTGGGGAATATAGTCCACATGAAAAGCTAAGCCATGAATTAAATAAGTTTATTAAACATTGCCATTTTCTTATTTATGTGATTCAATAATATATGAGATATATACGTACGATAATACTGTCATGTTTAATTAGTGGGAAAAACAGATTGTTCATTAAATACAATTGAGAAAACTGGATAGCCATCTAAAAAAATACAGATTAAATAGCTCAGATTTTGCAGTGCATTCTCTGACTAAAATGAATTAAATTAGAAATCAATATCAGATACCTGAATAATGCCACAAAATTTGGAAAATAAGCAACATACTTTTAAATAACTTCTGTGTCAAAAAGGCAATCCCAAGGGAAAATGGAAAATCTTTAAAAATAAATTACGTTGAAAGCATGTGATAAAAAATGTATAGGATGTAGATAAAGTAGTACTTTGAGGAAAACTTATAGCATTAAACACTTAAGTCAAAAATAAGAAAGGTCTCAAGTCAATTGCTAGAACTTTCACCTCAAAAAATTAGAAAAAGAAAATTAAAACTAAATTTTTTCTTTATAAGCATAAAGAAAAAATAATAAATATAGCAGCAAAAATCAATAGAATTGAAAACAGAAAACAAAGGAGAAAACATTCAATGGAATCAAAGCAGATTACTTTTGAAAGGTCAGCAAAATTCATTAACTTTTAACCAGACTTACCAGGAAAAAAAGATCACATTATTAATATTAGAAGTAAGAGAAGTGACATCACTAGAGATTCTGCAGATATAATATAATAAGATATAAGATAATAAGAAAATATTTGTAAACATATGCAAAAGAAGTGATGGCCTAAGTTTTGTGAATGATACAAACTGGCAAAGCTCATTCAAGAAGAAATAAATTCCCAGAATAGTATAATTCTATTAAAGAAATTAAACTTATTTTAAAATAGTCCCACAAATAAAACTCTGGACCTACATGTCTTTACTGGCAAATTCTATCAAACATTTCATGAAGACATAATATCAATTCTATAGAACCTCTTCCAGAAAATACAAGATAGTGAAAACTTCTCAAATTATTTTATGAGTCCAATATTGTACTAGTATTAAAACTAAATGAAAGTATTACAAGAAAAGAAAAATATAGACTAACAATCCTCATAAACATGGTCACAAAAAATTTAACATAATAAAAGCAAATAAAATCAAGCAATAGATAAAAATAATAAGTCATAATTGAGTATGAGTCATATTTTCAACATTTGTAAATCAAGCAATGTAATTTTCTATGTCAAGATGTTAGAGGAGAAAACCTATATAATCACTTCCATGGAGGTAGAAAAAAATGAACAAAATCCAACAGTCATTCCTGATAAAAACTCGGGAAACTAGCTGAAAAAGAACATTAACTTGACCTCACAAGGGTCATCTACAAAAAAAAAAAAAAAAAATACCCACAGTTAATACCGTATTAACGGTGAAAGACTGCACATTAACGCAGAAAGACCCCTAAGATTGAGAAGAAAGCAAAGGTGTTCTCTCCCACCACTCCTATTCAATATCTGAATTAATTTTCTATTGCTATTGCAAAAAAATTACCACAGAGTTAGTGACTTGAAACAATGTATGTTTATTATTTTATATGTCTGTGGGTCGAAAGTTTGACATACTTCCTACTGAGCTGCAATAGAAGTGTCACCAGGCTGTGCTTCTCACTGAAAGTCATAGAGGATAATGCATTTGTTGCTCATTCCACTACTTGGCAGAATTCAGGTGTAGGACCGAGCTCCCATTTTCGCACTGGCTGTGCACGGTGGGCCATTCCCACAGTCCGGATTCTGATCCTTCTTTCTCCATGCTCAAAGCTATCAATGGTGAGCCAACTCCCCCTCACCTGCTGGATCTCTTCTCTTTGCTCATCCTTCTCACTTGTGTCATCCTATCTGAAAGGACTTCTCATTTTTAAGAACTCGTGTGATTAAATTAGGTCCATATGGATAATTCAGAATAATCTCATTGACTCGAGGATAATCCTATTGTCTGTATTCCTAT